ATCGGCGACTCTACCATTTATTTATTTCCTCGCGTAATGGAAAAAAATAATAGGCTTGTTCTTTTTAGGTGAACTTCTTGCACAGTTCATCTTTTCTCTTTTTCTTCTCACGTTAGAGAGAAAGAGAAAAGATGAACTGTATAAGAAGTTCAATTAAAAAGAACAGGCCAAATGTACTAACAGCGTCAGTCTAATTCGAATTAATCCTGTTAACTGAACATCGTCGTGCTCTTGTTTTAATAAAAACGAGTGTTTTTCATTAAACTTTAGAGGTTCGCGCAAAACGTCTTACAACGTCTTGAAATTAATATATTTTGCATATTCGATTATATGTTAAATATGCATGTTTTTCCTACAACGAATTTCCGTTGTTTAAGAAAAAAGACCTGTCTAAAGGTTAATACTGTTGTTGAATTTACACTCTGGTGAAACAAATTCTTATCTCATTTTTTTTTGAAAATTTTTCGCATTTTAAATTTATGAAGATTTATAATAAGAATGAACTTCAGATTTTAGTTCGTTTTTTTTTTAAATTGTAAAAAAAGAAATCTTAAATATTTTAGAATTCTAGAAGAGATGTAGATTTTCTCTTCTTTCTGAAAAATGTTCTAAGTTACAAAATTATATAAAAATTCTGAAAAGTTACGCGAAAAATTCTAAATAAAAATTTCAGGGCGAGATCTATTTCCAATTAGATCCAATGCTGTTAACATTACTTTTTCATCTCACGATACGCTAGAACGAAAAAGATTGAAGAGATCTCTTGTTTTTACTCTCCCGTTATGTTTACGCCACATGTCGCGCTAATTTCTGTGGAAGTAGCGTTATCAGTTATCACGCTGTTATTTATTATGTAATAGGTGCATCATTGTTCACACATACACACGTACACACACACACACACACACACACACACATTACACCACCACACGCAACAGCAGGACAATGATATTATTATATTGATAATTGCGAAGGGAAGAACCAGTTATATATACGCTCTAGCTCTAGCTAGATCATAGTCGAGATTGATTTTAGACTGGACTACGAAATATTGATAATACGATAATATGTATGTTTCCACGAGTAAAAAAAAGATTACATGATAGGCCGTTCGCAATCACTCGCAATACGAATAATAGCAATGTAAATGAATAGTGTGATGAGAGGAAAAGGGAGAAGAAAAAAAAGGAGGAAAAAATGCAATCGGCGAGCGTGGGCCTTCGTCGAGCACTGCTAAGATTTTTAACTTTTACAAGGAGACTCGAGTATGAGAGAGAGAGCGAGAGAGAGAGAGAGAGAGAGAGAGAGAGAGAGAGTGTGTGTGTGTGTGTATATGCAATTGGTATTTAGTACAATTTTCTGAACCTGCGAGGCCGGCGGGAGATACATAATGTGTATGTTTCAGTGATCACATTTTTCGACATATATTATTATTATTGGAATAATAAAAGATTAGTACCGGATCGACGCAGTCGACTTTATTACATCCAGTTTTCGTGTACAAGACGTTCCCTCTCCATTGTACCCGAGAGGGTAAAGAAAAGAGAAAGACAATTACCAACGTATGTGTCTCTGACTTTACTGATTTATTATTATAAACGACAAGGTACAATAATACATTATAGTACTATTACATTACTGCGCAGTTAGTTAGAGACGATAGAAATAAATTATATATGTATATGTATATAAAATTTATATATAAATGACAAATTTTATTTATATATAAATTATATAAATATATATATAATTTAACCGACGTGTGTAGAGTGTAAATAAATATTAAATTGTGTGTAAAAACTTAAAAATGAACGTAAGTGTCCTAGACATTGTGCAGTAAAGTTCGACGATGCGCGAAGGAAGTCACGTTCCTTGTTCGTGAACACGTGTAGCCAAATTAATTAGATATTAACAATATCGCAGGGAGAGAATTGGCCTACATTTTTGGACTTTTCGGCAGTATCAAGATCTTTCGTTTCATAAACACCAGAGTTACAAGTGCATCGGTAACAATAGCTTGTCCGCTGCGAATTTTTCGATTTTTGAATTGCAAAGTAATATCCGAATCGAGGCTTCTGTCTTCCCAAGAGAAGAATCCCGGCGGTTTCTCCGGCATTTTAAAAAGGGTTCCGACATTTTAAGGAGACATTAACAGAAGCCTTAAATCCGTTAAAACGGAAATAAAATAACATTTTACACGCAAGAAACCGTACTTTCTGATAACAATCTTCCTTGCATAATTCTGCGATTGTTTCATGTTTTATTAAAGTGAGGCATTTTCTCACGCTAATTACACAATAAGATAAACAAAGAGAATTATCGGCTGCAGAACGATCCTCACAATACATACTGCACGTAGCACACAAACGCTTCCGTTTAGCGTATATAAAATGATATATATATATATATATATATATATGTATAAACTCTCAAAAAAAAATTTAAATTCTTTTTCCTCCGTTCTTTAAAGTTTTTGGTTATTGCGTCACAGCAGAGTAAATATCAAAAAGAAAAATGGTAATTCCTACGTTGAAATAGGTAGACTAGACTATGCTAAATCACGACGCTGCGTTACACGGCGGAATTGAAATCCCCACCGGATTTTGGGACCAAACTTCCGAATACTCTATATTATATTTCCGAATACTTACAAAAGCGCGGGATTTATTCTTATAATGTGTGATCTCTACTTTATTTTCTCCTAACGTAACGTATTAGTCTTTCACACCTAATCTTTTTCCCGTCGAGACCGCGAGAAACGTCTTCTCGATCCGATTAGGCGAGTAGCAAAAAATCGTTATAAATAATCTCGCTTATAAAAGCTAACTCCTCTCCTCTCGAATGCACAATCTTAATTCCTCAGTCTAACGCTACTAATCCTATCGAAACTACATGTACGAAAGTTAACAGCTGTCTTTCAATGTGCGGTTTCAACAAATCTGATCTTGTTTAAAAATAAAAATAAATAACCGCTCGTATGAATATAAAAATTAAAAAGAAAAAGGCCAATGATCAAGCATTAATAGATGTTAAACCATATAATTAATTAACATATATACAAATAACGGATAAAACCAAATAGCTATATACCATTGGTTTTGCAAAACATTTAATTATTTAATCAATCGATTTCGAACTTTTTAAAGCTTCCTTCAATTCCAAACAAATCCGTTGCTGTCTTTGCCTTGCCCGGTCGTAGCGCCTCATTAACGCGATGACCTTCTTCCTCTTGGAACCAAGCAACGTGATCTACCAATTTTTTTACTTGTTTATCATGTAACTCCTGTAGATTAATATCTATTAATGCTCGATTATTGGCCTTCTTCTTTTTAATTTTCTGATCTTGTTTCTTTCCTTTTCCCCTTATCATTAATAACCTAACGTAACATTCTTGCGCGCTTGTCGAGATTTTCTGCGGCAGAATGTTGCACAAGTCGTGTGCGTGCCGTACAATATCGGCTTCTTCTTCTTTTGTTTAATGGCACCCGCCTCTTGTTAGTGACGTTACGGCCAATATCTTGTTGTAAATGTAAGCTTAAGGGGCGGAATTTCGTAACACTCGAAAATGTGTATATGCGTATGCGCGTATGTATGTCCGCGGTGTCTTGGGCCGGTATTCATAGTCGATTCTTATTTCAAGACCGTCTTAAGATGCTAATACGGCTGTGATTGGTTCATGACGTCTTAAGATTGTACTTAAGACGGTCTTGAACCGACTATGAATACCGGCCTTTGAACTCGGGTTAATGCCGTAGGTTCATTGAGCCGAAGGAACTGCGCGGATCAGTTCCCCCTGCGACCAGTACAATATCGGCGCGGTTCGAAAACACCGACATGTAATCGATCGAAAAGACGAATGTACGATAATTTCTTCGTACTACTTTTTTTTAATTGAACGTTTTTTCACTCTAATGACTAGCGTGTCAATTGCACGAAGCGCGTGTCCGACAATTCGCGTTTAGATGCATCTCCGTGAATGCTTGACGAAGGCGTCTTTTGATATTCTCTTCGAGATATCGTCAACGAAACTTTTTCGCCTTCTTCTCGAGGAAAATATCTTCTTTTTCTTGTCCTCTTCTTAATCTTATTACGACCGACAAGACCGTTACAGCACACACACGTCGTTCTCTAAAAATTTCTCGTCACTAAGGTGGGAGAGGATAACAGGAGGGAGGCGACAAATTGACCTCCGGCCTCACTCGGGATCGGTTTCCGCTTCGCTAATCGGCAATATCGCAACGGGACCAGCGGCTGCTAGCTTTGCTTTGTACGCCTCCGGTTCGAACCAGCGAATCGGTGCCTGTCAAGAGAAAGACATTAGTTGCCGGGCGAGCCTCGCGATACAAGTAAGAAGGCAATAAAATCCCCTTACCTTACCTTGTTATAAGCAGCATGCTTCGATTCGGTTGAAAAGCCGAGTGTTAAATTGCTTACGTGAGGATACATGCAGACGGTAATTGTAAGTCTACACACGTTCACAAGCGTACTTTACACGAGGCCTTCCTACTCTAGCAATTGACGTATATGTAGTGAAAATATCGTGTATTCTGAAATGTTAGTAAACTGACTCGCAGGCCTTTCTTTTTCGCAGACTTTGCAAGCACATGTCTAAGCAAGTATGCCAGCTGTCATGTAAACTGCGCTTGTTTACGAAGAATGCGCAGAGAGCAAGATTCAGCGGATTTTGCAATACTCGTTTATTAATACAGCGTGGTATGTGAGTTTAACACACAACACTAGTTTTATCAGTCTAGTCTTATTAGTTTCTTTGTATACAAGATCAAATAAAACAATCTCGTATTGAACTCCTCAGAAAGAGAGAAACAAAAATATAAAAAAAATAAAGTTCTTTACCATAATATGAACAACATAATATAGTGATATAAGAAAAAAACAGTTTAAAAACATATCGTAGTGTATATCTCTAAATTCGAGACGTAGGAACATAGACTTTCAAATTTCGGTACAAAGAATAATACCATATAAAACTTTGTACGCAATAAATACTGAATACCATGACTGTTTCACACAACAAGCCAATTGAGTCTTAAATAGCCCTTCGAGGGCTGAACACAAAATGTTTTTTAATCACATTTTGCGACTATGATGATTTGTACGAATCCATTCAGTCAATTAATCGCGCAAGTTTAATGCGCAAAGTCTTTTTGAAACTAATTGTAAACGCGTAAACAATGTAAAAAAAATATATGTGTATCACATAATACGAAACTCACTTACGATCTCTTTGGTCTTGAGTAACTTTTAAAAATTTGTCGTCTCCTATTATTGCAAAAGATCTAATCTCTAATTACGATGTCACGCATATCGTGAGGAAACTTCTAAAGTCTTTTAATTCGCGAGATACTATTGAGATTCACACGTTCATGATAATCTTCATTAAATTTTCTCTTCGATCAATCGTTAAATACAACCTGGTCTCATCTCCTTCGTAGAAAGCATATTCTCTTGTGAAGAGAGAGAGAAAGAGAGAGAATACGGAGACCTGACTGTGACCGATGATTAAACGAAGCAGATCTCATTTCCGTTCCTCCCCTTACTGAATGCATGCGGTTATCGAATACCGCAATTAATCACACTCGTAACACACTCGCATCCTCGGAAACGCGGACTCCTCTCCCGGCGGGGTGTTAATGTATATGTGAGTATTTATGGATGCGTGTTGTATACAAGAATATTAAACCGCGGCGTTACAGGGAAGAGTAACGCGGAAGGTTTTGCACGGTATATGATTGGCGTTCCTGTCGCATAGCGGTACCTTACGAACTATATTGGGACATTCCTTCTGTATGCGCGCCCAATCGGCGGGGGGCCGCTTCGCGTACGGGCCCGACGCGCACAGCAGCAGAAACTCGTACGTAAGTTCTCTCGCTTCTGGAACTAGATAAATAGAAACAAGATGGAATTACAAGGCATTGATTAAAATTTATTTATTTTATTGTGTATTGACTGACCAGTTTTACATTTTAAAACCGATTAGAAATTTTATTTCAGTAAAATTAAGAACAATGTAAATTGCACGAAAACGAGAATTTCTTGAGTTTTTTTCATTGTAATCATAAACTACCCACTTATGATTATAATGTTAAATATAATATTACATTGTGTTTTTATATTTGAATACCTTGTTGAGTCGAGCCTCGCTCTTCAGAGATCGGACGAGGCTTGTAAGTTTCTTCGCTTTCCGAAGAGGTCGCGGCGCTATCCACACTTAACTCTCGGCCTAGAGAAGCAGGAGCGTTTACATTGTCCAATGGCGACAACGGCGTACGGGGAACAATAGGGGTGGATGTGGTAGTTATGGTAAAGTTGGGTTCGTCCTCGTAATTAAAGTATTCTATCCCGCTGGTAAAGTTCTCAGGGTCGCCCAAAAAGTGTTCGTCCAGTACCAGTTTTGCCGTCTGTAGATTATCCAGTTCACAAAAATTATACATGAATAAGTGCTGGTCTACAACCTTGCCTTATAGGATATTTAAGCTCTAAACCGTAAGAAATCGACCAATCGCAATGGAATGTGAGGCAAATACTCGATTCTGATTAGTCAATTTCTTACGGCTTAGAGCTTAAATACTCTTTAAAGTAAGGTTGTAGATTGTAGACCAGTACTAAAGCAGACAGAATACATAAAATAAAAAAAATATAGATGGATTTAATAGAATTAGATGCTGATTAATATAAATCTAATCTTTAATTAATCAGCATTTAAATTTAATTAAATACTGCAGTTTAGTTAGATGTTAACACCTGAACTTAATCTCCAGTTTAATAAAATTACATAAATCATACAACAACGTGTACGATTTTATTATTACCCTGACGAGGTCGAGATTGCAGCCCGTAATTTTGAGGGACTGGTTACCCACGGTGACGGTGTACTTGTATTCGCCTATGCTGGCGTCGTTGGTGGAGAGACTGTGCAGGAGGGACGAACGTAGACGAGAGTTGTGTTGCTGACTCTGTTGCAAACGATTGCTCTCGTCCGACGCGCTGCTGTTGAGCGAGGAGCTGGAGCCGCCCATTGCTCCTTTTTCGCCGCCGGAGCTCTGCTCCAGTCTCACTGGCGATGCATTTCGTTGTATCGTATCTTTGATTAAATCCTTCGCATAACTGAGAACGTTAAACGCTTCTATTAATAACAGCTCGCTAAATGTGCCGTTATTAAGTAGATCTTAGGCATAGAATACATTTATTATTAAACTTCTATTAGTAAACTTCTACTTTATTGTAAATATATTATTTAGACATACTGAATCTTGTCCTCGGACGTTCCCGTGATTTGGACAAGTCGTTCTTTAGCTCCAGGGTTTACTACAAACCAAGATACTCAGATCAGTGGGCAGTCTTGCCAACATTGATATTCATTGAAAAAAATCATATGGTAGTTGCCGTTAACGTAACATCTTTTAACACAAGTCCAATGGCACGGTTAATGTGTTAAACGAGATGTGATATTAAATACTTGTTAAAATATCGCCAAAGCAAGGTAAGTACAATATACAACGTATTTTAAAAAATATTTAGATATATGTATGTAAAATCACATTCAAATGTAAAACAGACGTCTCACATGTTATGCGATATTAACGAAAACGTCAAAGTATTAATGAAATGCCAACCTTCCTATCCACGTGGGACCCGCGATATATGATCGATTCGTCGACCGGGCGTTAATAAACTGGTAATACAATATAATATCTCTATTCGGCTCTTAAAGCTGCGAACGTAACGCACAACATTCGTATGCTTCACTCATCGGGCTGTTAAAGAGATGCATTCCACAATGGTTGATATGAATTGTACGCATTAGGTTGATCGAGAGAAAAATGACTATTCATCTCATATGATTTTAACAAAACAAAAAAGGAAATAAGAAAAAAGAATGTTTTCATCAATTTAATCCTTGCGAAGTGTAACACGATGTCGATTTGTGTCATCACGTGAAAGAAAGCTGACGTGCTTTGCATTTTCTCGATTAGTAGATCACGTTGCAAAACTAAAACACTAAACTTAATAGTGGCCTAATCACGCTGGTTAGATAATAGCTTTGTCATGCAAACTAAGAGTGACCGGATAAAAAATATTGGCTGCCATTTTTTATCACAGATATGAATATTTTTTTTTACATACGTATCATATTTGAACAATAGTCAATACAAATTTGCCGCGTCAAACTTAATAATGTAAGAGAGGATTAGGTGTTTTTGTGGGACAAGAGAGAGCCTCGTTCGACCGATTAATACTGTTCTTGCGATGCAATGAGCACAAAATGCTATGACAAGCCATTGGCAGATCATTCATTTGCTTTTTACCTCGCTGGAAGGAGATGATCGTCTGGCTGAGCTCTTCAATCATGTGAACCCGCCGCCCTTTTATTCCCATCACTGTATTTTCGTGCGAATTATTTAACAATAGAAACATAATCGGGCCAACATAATCGGGAAATCAAAGTCGGTTGATTAAAGGTCTAATACAACCGATTGGTTTCGTTTTACGTAAAAATCAGATCATTATTTTCATCTCACAAACAATCCCTATCGATCGCATCGCGACGTTACTAAAATTACTGTAAACACCTTGCAAATAACGTAATAAAAACATTGTATGGGTTACAATTTGATTCATAAAAATCGAACCTGCTCAATTAATAATGGAAATTTTGTACAACGAGAATGAAAGCAATTAAATTACCTTTTCCCGAGTCACTGTTGCGAATGACAACCTCGTCTTTGCAATAGTTTTTCCCCGGTATGCGTGTAGGCTTGGCGAACTTTCCGCTATTCTTGATTACTTCCCCGGGCCCCAAGATCGGTGCCGAGGTGGGTGAAGTCATTGTCAATAACGGGGACGACAAGTTCGTAGGTGTATCGGGTACCGCTTCGGTCAGCTAGGAAAAAACAGCATTATTTTATTCAATGTTAAATAAAAAAGTTTAATAAGATTTTTTTGTAAATATTTTAAGATTATATATTGAAACGCTAAAAATAAAAGCTGTTTAGATAATATTCAAAAAATTTTAATTGCAAGTTTTTACTCTCACCAAGTATAATTATTACTCTTGTGTCTGGCTTGCAAGTCTCAAATATAATTTCGAAAAGTTACGTAAATGTAAAGAAAATACGAGTAAGTTTTTAGGGTTACCTACATTGTCTAGATGCGACAATTTCTGCATGTAATATACGTCCATCGAATCGGTGTGACGCCATTGTTTCGCTCGTAGCTCGATAAGTTCCAGCAGATGAACCCTGGTCGTCAGATCTAATCTGTCGTCCTGGCTCCCATTTCTGATCGCCACAAAAGCCCGGTCCAGCTGATCTAAAAAATTATTCACAAAAATCAGCCTTTATTTAAAGGATGTGGAATGAAATCTATCATCAAAAAACATGAAAGAATTACTATTCATGTAAACTACTGAGCTGGCTTTCAAGTTACGTTTTATGTACAAGAAAGAATTATTTACCTTTGTAAATAGCTTCTAACTGGTTGGCATACAGTTTCAGGTGACTACACATAGAAATCACATTCATTTGCAGCGTTCGGTCATGGAAGCCATTGGTCAGTTGCATTGCAACATTGTCGATTAGGGACACTATATCCTCTACTAAAAAGTCAAAAGAAAAAAAAGGGTTTAAAAGAATTGTCATCGATCTAATTTAAAAAAGAATAAACGCAGCTTATGAACACATTCAATTTACAAGAAAATGATTATATCTTTATAAAAGACTGTCGTCGCAAGAGATCGTAAGTTTTGCCAAAACGAGAATAAATACAAAAAGATTTACCAGTCGTGATCCGCCCATCGACGGTCGAGTTGCGCTGGTTAAGCTTAAGCGGCCGTGGTTTTTCGAGCTTTTTTACGGTCCTGGCTCTGTTCAATTGTGCGGTAGCCATTGTGATCCTGCAACAAAGACATTACATAAAAGGAAACTTGAACGCTCAATATTTATATTCAAAATTATAATTTTCATATTATAATTTTTACGATTTAAATTGCCCGGTAAAATTAGTACGTGTGCATTAATTGGTATCATTTGATACATTGTTAGTAAAAATATATTGTGCTTGTGTACTTGAAACTAGCGTCAATCGTTTGACGTAGAACCGCTTGTTATAAAGAGAAAGTATCGTGGACTGAATGAAAGTTTCATTCCGAGGAGGCCAAGGTTTCATCATCGCCTTTCAATAAACTCATTTCTCCTGGCGCAAATTAAGCAATATAAGAACCGTAACGTCAACAATACTCCAAAATCGGATTCTTTCGCAAGGTAAATGTCTTTCAAAACGCAAAAGACGACGGTGAGTCGTTATTATCTTGCCCAAGTCGTCGCGGCGACAGAAATAATTTAATTTGCGGCGTCCACGTCGTCGCGTAAGGAGAGGACGAAGCGCGGAGCAAAACAGAAAGCCGGCGTGGTGGAGCGGTGGTGGAATCCCGGATTCTTCGCCCTTTCCACCCTCGTCCTCCAAAAATACACATTCGTCGGCACGACACACGTGCAACGGGAGCGTTTGCCGCGCTAATCGAGCTATAAAAATTCGAAACCAAATCCTTCGCGCCTCTATTAGGAAATAATACATCCATATATGTATAATTGCGAGAAATAACATATAATCTCGGATAGCATAGGCTGCATTCGAGGAGCGCGCTATTAGCGCTATTGCATCATTCTGTCTTTATCGCTCATCAGGTGTAAAACAAGGATAGAACAAGCAAATAGCGCTAATAGCGCGCTCCCCGAATCCAGCCTAAGTCTATCGAGAACAGGGTTATGCAGAGTGTCTGCTATAAATTTTGTCGACAAAAAGATTACAGATTTAATATGAGATTTAACATGTATACAATGTCGACAGAATGCTGACAGAAATTTAACGAAGTTTGTTAACAAAGCAGTCTGTATGGATTGTTTACGACTACTTTACGTATTGCTTACATTATGTTTACACGAACTTTTTCCCCATGTAGACAATATAACTAATGTAAATTATTATGAACTGAATGATTGATTTCTTTAAACTGTATTTTTGCAGTCCTACAAAAATAATTTTAAATTAGATTAGATTAAAGATGCACTTCAGTTATAATTTATTTATTAACTGTACTGAAATGAAAGATATGATGCTAATATAAAAACATTACTATTTATGTTGAGCAATATTACTTAGTTTTTTATCATGGAATATGCACAATGTTTATTTTTTTTCTATAGGTATAAAATCAATATCTTTAAAACCATTGTTATCAATTTTCTATAGTCCTAAAAATTGTGCCCAAACTGAATAACAGTAACTAAAAATAAAATTGCAAACAAAATATAAACTGACAAAATATGAATGTAAAAAATGAATAGATTACTAATTGTTTACGTGACACATAAAACATAAATTTACATTGTATACATGTAGATGTAGATTTTTAATATATTTACGCGTAAAAACCTGCAACAAAGTACGATGGCGGAGATCAAGCAGATTTTGACATACTTGCTACACAATTTGACGCAGATTGGCGACAGAATCTGGATTCGATGGATGCTGTTCGATCTCTGCCGTCAATCTGCCGTTAAGTCCTGTGTCCACGATGCTAGAAATCGCTCCGAGATTTTGGACAGAGAATTACCGAATTGGTTTAAATATGACGATTTTTTTCTCCCATTTCTCCATTCAAGATCTCGGAGCGATTTCTAGTATCGTGGACAAAAGGCTTTAAGTTATGACGGCAGGATCCGCCGGCAAAACGTGGTGCTTACACGAGATTGATGCCCGATTTATTAGCAATTTCTGATCGAATTCACCGCCAATTTGTTTTCAAGTTATAACGGCAAGCTCCGCCGGCGAAACACGGAGCTTAATCCGGGCGTAATTGATGCCGATTTGCAAGCAATTTCCGATCAAATCTGCTGCCAATCCGCTGGCATGCTGTGAACAATTTGCTCATTGTTAATTATGATTACATTGATATGAATAATTAATACGCGTGATTAAAAAAATTACTGTAATAATTCATACCTGCATAATTTATGTAATCTATATGAGTAGTACAATGTCCATATATGTATATATCGTGACATAGGACAGCCTTTATGCCGATTCTACTAACTCTCTGTCTCTACTACTCGTCATTAAATTCGCCGAACTCAAATCTAATCACATAAACTTAGCGCACGAGTAAGTAATACGATATTCAAGGAGTACCCCACGTTTTGCGTTCTAGCAATTCTCCCCGGAGGGAGGGAGAAAGAGGAGAGGGAGGATGCAAGTGGAGAGAGAGAGAGAATCGTCAGAGAGAAAGCCAAACGAAAAAAGAAAAAAAATAACAAGGTGAGAGAAAGACACGATTGTATACCGCGGTAAGACGCAAAATATATGCAGGTTGATTTGCGGGGGCAGGCATTCCTTGTAAATATTTTCCCACGCGAGAGAAACTATTGTGAGGGGGGGGGGGCGGAGGGAGGGAAGAGACGATAAAAAGATGCAAAAGAGAGAATAAAGGGGGGAGGGACATCGCCGAGCGGGAGTCGGAAGGAGGGGAGATAGAGACGGACAACAACATTAAAAGCTGACGATTCCGGCTACACTTTCCGGCACCTCGTACGCCCGGCGATACGACAAACTTACGTATCTTCGCGCGTTGGTGAGAGAAAAGAACCAGGGATACGGAGTGCAGACGGGGTGCAACTAGGCAAACGGATCTATTAGTATAACAGACAGAAACGGAGAAATTATTTCTGGCGTTTTGCGTGCGCGTATGTACGTATGTATGTATTGCGCCCACGCGCGCGCAAGCATGTACGAGCACACGTACGCGGCCATGGGGCACGCATGTACAACGCGCGCGAATGAGAATCGCACTTGACGCACTGGCGAACGGGAAAACTCTCCCCCGCGGAATTCCGGATATGGAAGTGTCCGGACACGGGAAAGCCGCGACGACGACGAGGGACGCACGCGACGGAGGCGGCGCGTTTCCGTCCAAGGAAATCACGCAGCCGCGACACCGCGGCGCGGAACACGCACGTTAGGACGTACCTTTCGCGAGATCCACCGTCCCGGTCGGCCGTATGCAAACGGATCAACGACACGCAGATCGTCCGTCCGGTTGGGATCGCGAAGACGTATGCGTCGACGACGTCGACGTGCGCCGCGAAGGTATAGTCGAGTGGTGGTCCCCCTGAGAACTGGCGGCCAGTGCCGCCAACGGCGACGGTAACGGGGACGAGGGAGAAAGTCACTAGACGCCGCTGACAGCAGTGACAGCTCCGCCGATTTTTCGGGATCGATATTATAAATCGGTGTCAAATAATATAATTATCGCGCCAATAACGAAAAAGAATTTGTTCTAATAATATAAGAAAATGACAATTACATGATAATTATATATTAGAAAAGAAAAATTATAAATATAATATATATATAATTGGTAATTATCTTGAATATAACATATATAATATATACATATAACGAAAATTTTAATAATGGAGTAATTTGTAAATATGATGAAGTAAACCATAGAAAATTATAATTATATTCTTATATACATAGAATTACACATATAACTATAATTTATTGTTTAAAACGCGTGCATATACACACAAATACACTAAATAACAAAAAGAGGAATATTTGCACATATAAAATTTAACATAGCACGCATATTCTTATTTGTGTAATTTTTTTGTATTCACCAGAGAGAAACCTGAGAGAGGCCATCCCGGCCTTTTTCGTGTGTTGCTGTGTTGCATTTTCCGACGCGCCGCCTGAGAAAATGCAACTCAACTACGTCGTATCGCTCGGTAACCGCACATGGTTTGCGTCCGTGCTAGGTTCGTGCCGAAGCCGAACTAGCCAGCTGGAGGGGATATTCTGGCCGCGGCGGCCGCGCTTCCATCTTGCGTATTCCAATTAATAACGAATTACGATAATTAAAATTACAAAATTAAGATTACATTCTTCAAAATTATTACGAA